CTCTTTCTAATACATCTTTTTCATACATTATATTAATTTTTTTTTAAAAAATCATTAAAATTAATTAAACAGGAAGTGAGATCACATACAATTATATAATTTTGAACAAATTTCATCAAATAATAAATAGAATGTTAGAAAGTGTAATATTAACATTTCTCCATTTGTTCAACTATTGACCTAGAAAACAATTATATTAAAATTCCTAGATTTCTTTGGATTTTATAGTAATTATTTTTTTAATGTTATATTTAAGGTGATTTTTATTTGATTGATTGGATAAAGATTTTATAAATTCAATACGTAATATTATGCATTTAAAAATTTAATCTATATTTCAAAAAAGATATTGTCAACAACTCAGTTTGCTTGCTCCATTTCTTAGGCCTTAGGGGTTAGTTAAACCAGAAGTCAGCCAGACCTACATGATACCTAACTTATTTTTTTTTCCTTCTAAAATCCAAGATAATATATATAAAAAAATCTAAAAATTAAGTAAAAAGACGTATAGAGCCTTGAAGTTGACAAATACTAACAGTGTGGATGGAGCGTGGACAATTTCCAAAAGAATGTATGAAACATGTAAGGGTGACATAGTGTTGCCGTGTAGTGGGTCCAGACACTTTTGTGGAATAAGCTGCACGCTATTGGGGACGCGTGGTGATACTTCACTTTCATGTCAGCACATAACTCAAACAAAGAGCAATGCAATTACAAGCAACATAGGTTGTTAATGTTCTGTTTCGTCACACTTTTGTTTTGACTCTTGCCATTTGCCAACCTTAACTTCCTTCTCTAACGTAATTTCCTGATTTCCTTCTCTTCTTTTGCCCGTGATACTGTCCTCACCCCAGATTCCATTTTCCCTTCTTCATTTCTGGGTCTCCATCTATTGGCCTTCTTTTCCTGTTTCTGAGGTGTGTGGATGTTAAAGTTCTAGCCTTTGGGTGCTTTGGCTATTTTTTCTGCTGCTTTGGGTCAAATATGAAGATGGGTGTTCATCCTTAGCCTTTGAGAATCTAAGCATTTTCTTGATTTGGAGAGAAAGATGAAGGATTTTCCTGGGACACCAGGCACTGGCCTTGGTTTGGCTCTAAGGATGTCACAGTTCATTTTTGCTGCTGGATCAATTGCTTCCATGGCTACCACTCCCAGTTTCTTTAATTTTACGGCTTTTTGGTAATTGGAGATTTTGCTTTTCTGAAACTTTTGGTGTGATTTTATTGCAGTACTCAACATATTCTCATAACACATTAGTCATATGTATTTTATGCAGCTGTTTGTAATTGATTCGGTTGCATGTTTTGATTTATGCATATAAGTCAATTTAGCTTTCGCAAGTAAGTTTAGCACTTTGTCTGTTATAGTTGTGACTGGAATGTGTTCTGGAAATTTGTCATTGTTGTTCGGATTTGGGAACTCTGATATTCATGAAGCTTTTGGATGTAATTGATGGGAATCACAATTTTTATGTGACTGAATCAAATGTATCATGTGTAAAAATTCACTAATCAGTTGTGTACTACACAATGAATATTTTTATGATAGAAATGATTTAATTGGTGGAAAATTATTTTTATAATGAAACTATAATTAAATTATAAAAAAGCATGCATTTAATTTGATTAGTTTTGAAAAATCTCAAAAATTTGTCTTGATGATAGAAGAAATTAAAGCATTGCTTAAAGAAATTAAGGAAACTAAAATCTCCTTTGATTGAATAACTAATCAAGGGGGAAAAAATATTGGTTTGACATGTGTAACAAAATGACAAAGATACATGGCTACCTGAGGATGATAGTACAGGCAAATTATCCTACTTTCAAGAATGATGGCAAGTTTTATAAAATAGTGGTGGATAAAATAGCAACTATATGATTTGTTGGATTAGCAAAATGAGCTTCTGAACCTGCATGTCTTACAAAAGGAAATGAATCGAATGATATTCATGGTTGAGAGGATGATGGAAATGAGAATAGCATCTTCTTTGTGAGTTATGTCCTATTACATTTTAATGAAACTTATGTGTAAAGTTCTTGAAAATATTCCACCAAAACATTATTTACTGGGCTACATCTTTCATTCTTAAATTAGTTGTAAATAAGAAGTGGAATTTTTTGTGTCTTTTCCTCCTTAATCTTTAGTTATTCCTCCTCAGTATTGGCAATAAACTGCAATGTTTACTATTTACTGACTAACATGTTAATACAAAAAATAAAAGAGAGGAAAAAAATAAATGTTGATTGTTTGACTATTGGAGGGCAAGTTTTGTCATAATGGTTCAAATCTTGGAAATAGTCTCTGCTTGCTGGGTTAGGGCTATGTTTATTTACCCTCCATAGAACCCACTAGGTGGGAGGGAGCCTCGTGTATTGGGTTTCCCTTTGATTGTTGGACTGTTGCCATGAAAGTGAAACCACTCCTAGCCTACCTCACCTAGAAGAGTTTATAATGTTTCTTGGGACCCTTTTCTGTCAAATTCAGTGGCCAGACAAGATGCTTTCAATGTTTGGCTAGCAAAATACTAATGAAATCATCATACTTGTGTGATACTAATTTTGGGTAGATTGCTGCATCCCAAGTTCCCAACTATCTGCACCTGCTATATGCAAATTCTGTTTGCTTGTTGATTTTCAAATTTTTAGAACCGTAGAATATGGACCTACTAACCATTCAATCTCAAATACATTTTTATTTTAATTATTTTGATACACAGGGTGCACTAAGAATTTGACCTTACTGTAGAAAACAATGTACGCTGAACAATTAATGAAGTGATTGTTTTTGTTTCAACAGTTTATTCATTAGGTGTGATGTATCTTAGTTCAGTCAGATTCATTAATGGACATGTTCACATGATGTTCCCTCTTTATTTGTCTCTTTATCCTGCCCCTTAAAGCCTATGAATATTACTTTTAGATCATGGTTACTGCTTAAAATGTTCAAATTTATCGTGTTAGACGTAAACTTTTAAACTCTTTGTTAATCGGTGTATGCTAAAAATTGAAGAAATGAAACTGAAAAGGCTGAGTTTTGGCTCTCCATGCAAATGATGACTGAACTGGGAGTGGAATTCTGAATAAACTGAAGCAAGCTTAGCTGGGTATGGAACTAGGCTTGGAGGTGAGATTGGGAAGGGTGTTGGCTAAAAAGGGATGTCTTTGGTTAAACCTCTGTGGAGTGTGGTATAACTGCAGATTATTAGTATTATTTTGTTGCTCTTTGATGAGAAACTTGGGAGAAACACAACACTAAAGCTATTCTATTATAATTGGAGAGCACAAGGCCTTGTAAAACCCACACTAGAATCCTATACTTCCAATGTGGGACTCAAGTCCATATCCTGCAATTGGATCTTAACATCCCACCATGCTTTGCAGCCCCACACTCGTGTAGTCCTTTGAATAGTCATGCACAAACACGGGGATGCAGGTGGCACATGGAAAAATCCAATTGATAAGAACCTTGGAAATATAATGCCACAAAATCTAGTCATTGTTGTTGGAGAGCCCAGGACCTTATAAACGCCCTACTAGTATGTAGGACTGAATTCCCATACTTCGCAATTGGATCCTAACACTTTTGTTTTTCCCTATGAAAACATGTATGTCATGAATCATGATCTGTTCTGCTGTTGATACAATGATCTAGAAATATACTTACATTGTTCATCAATAGCTTGCTTGGATGATGAACATGGAATAACTTGACACTGACCGCCCCTATTGTATTCCAGTTACTTGATAGCTTCAATGGGTTTACAAGTCATTTGGAGTTTTGTGCTTGCTTTATTGGATGCATATGCCTTGGTGAAAAAGAAGGTCCTCCACAATGCTGTACTGGTTAGCCTCTTTGTAGTTGGAGATTGGGTTAGCCTCTGCCTAGACCAGTTATTCATTGGTTTATTACATACAATAGGAGTTCTGAAGTTGTGATCTTTCATTAACAAGTCTTCTTAATCCCTGTCACAGGTAACTGCAACACTATCTCTAGCTGCGGCGTCTTCCTCAGCCGGCATCACGGTTTTGTACTTCAATGATCTGGGGCACTGCCATTTTGGAGAGGAATGCCAAAAGTACCAGATTTCAGTAGCATTAGCCTTCTTGAGCTGGATACCTATTGCAATATCATCCCTAATTATGCTTTGGCTATTAGCTGCAGGGTAGAAGATTCTATATTCGGCTCATCCAACATGATATTGGAAATTTTCTTTGAAAGTGTCAATAGGAAAGGAAATAGATTAGAGGTTTACACTCATTTAAATCAATTCCTTCATTTCAACTAGAAATGGAATAGCTGCAGATTGTAAAGAGTAAAAAAGTATACGTGGTTTTTGCCTTGCAAAGAAATTAGGTTACTAAAGGTGTTATGCGGAATTCCTGATCCTGTGCTGTGACTAGAAGGTCAAAACTTTTTTGTTTGTCCCTTGGATCATTTATGTCTATAAATCATTTTCTTACAGCTGCTATGAATGGAGTACCTTTGTGCCTAATCTTGGGTTAGTATGTCACAGATAACTTTGGTAAAATTAGAGATGTGTAAAAGATTCATTCCGATCTAAATTATATAATTTGATTTGTTTTGAGAAAAATACAAAGTGATTCAATTTACAAAAACAGTTAGTTAACTAATCCGTTTTTTATGAATTAAATTGGTTTGATTCGATTTTTTGAAATTTTTTTTTTTACATATAAATATTAACTGGATAATCAAATTACACTAAACTGATCTAATTAAAAAAATTGATCCATTTTTAAAAATAATTAAACCAATCCCTTTTTATAAAGATAAATTAGTTCATTTTGATTTGAATTTTTTAAAAATTCAATCCACGAAGAACCTTAAAGTAAACATTAAAAATAAATTGTTTAAAAAATAGTGATGTTATTACTGATGTGTTGGATTCACATTATCATTCAAAATTATGTTGAAATATCGCTAGATATTAATTATTGGTAAACGTTTGTTTCATGTTAGAGGAATTGAATTCTAAGTTAAAAATTGATTGAGTTGAAATAATTTTATGTAACTTTTATTTTAAATAAAAAATTATTTTATTACTAAATTAACTTTAGAATGAAAATATCTGAATATAAAATTACAACATTTCAAAATTAGTTTTTTAAAATTAATTTACGTACGTAAAAAAATGTGAGGACATCAAAGCTACACAGTACTTTGGTTTATGATTCTTAAAAAATAAATTGGTTTTTCTTTAAGCACCATAAAACTAAACATGTTATTGCATGACTATTTCAGCGTTTTAAACCATGTATCCACGTTCAATGTGAAGTTAATATTCATACGCTTTTATATGAATTTGATGTAGAAATTAGAAAATCGTGTTCAAACACTATTATTTCAAATCTATTTTACAGTTTTATTAGCAGGGGAAAACAACAAAAAAAAATTAATGATAGTTGTAATCGCTACTACCTCAAAAAAAAAAAAAAAAAAGAATGAGAAGAAAGTTAAAGGAATTTACTTTAAAAAAAATATTAAAACTTCAAGAAGAAAAGGTCTTGTCAAGTCCTAGTAACTATTTGTAAAGTGATGATATAGATTGCATCGATATATTTGATTGATTAAAAAAATATTACGTGGTAATTTTATTTTTTAAAAGAAAATTTTAAAATTGAAAGTAAATCATTCGGAACTTAAGTTTAAATCAAGTAATTCATATATACCAAGATTAACTTATAAGTTTTTTTTTTTATTAGATTTCCAAGTCTCAAGAGTTGTGTACCCTTCTAAGATAAAATGTAATTAGATGAAAATCGATTAAAATAAAACTGACTTACAAGTCTCGATGATTATGTATACTTTGGAGTTTTTGACTGATCTCTTCTAAGCTGATTACCTTCCAACCAAATTCCCTTGGTCGATGTCCCTACTCCCTACCCCAATCCAAATAGGATAAAGACTCAATGAAGTAGTTTTATGGCTATATGGTCAAATTGGATAAAAGTATAGAGGTTCCTTATTTGGAAGAAAAATAATAATTCATATCAATTAAAGATGAAATCAAAATAAAATACGTATTGAAAGGAACAACCTCCACATTTTAACTCAATTTTATATAATTAAATTAGATCTAAATTCACTTTCCATCATTTATCAATGTACTAAGACTCAAAAATATTAGATGAGGATTGAAAATATGTATTAAAAAAATTAAATTCACATTGATTAGAACTAAAATATAAATAAAAGATAATATTATAAAAAGTTAATTTTATAAAATTTGATTAAATATGCACACATATAACCCAATCCTAGTACCAGAATGCAAGACTACTATACTAACCTATCTTCGTATGAAACTACTTTTGTGAATATTTTTACATTATGTAGTCCTTTTATTATATCATATTTATTGGGTAATTGGTACCATAAACATTTTAATTTCTTTTTAGGTCTGAGGTGGAAATCACTAACTAAAAAATTCGTTACATTCGATTCGGAAGATATATGGAACTGACAAAAAAAGTAATATTTGGTTAGATAAGCTTTACAGCATTTTCAGTTAGATAATGATCACAAACCACAAGTTAAAATCTTGACGTAATTTCAGAAAGGTAAATTAAGGTGGGTTTGGTTGAGACAAAATGAGTGAAAAATAGGAAAGAGAGAGCAGAGTAAACATAAATTGAGAAGTTTGATCGATAAAAAACAAGTAGATAAAAAAATAAAAGATGATGAATTTCCTTTTCTTTTCTTTTTTCTCTTTTTTATATATATTTTATTTCTCATTTATTTTTCACATATATTTTTTCAATCATATAATAAAATTTTAATTTATTTTCATTTATTTATTTCTCTCTTCGTTCTATCTCTCTCTCTCTTTATTATTATTTTTTAAAAAAAAGTTTCTTCTACGGATCACAAGCTTAGTAATTTGTTCGCTGTTGGAACCCACCGTACAAGATTTATTGAGTCCTTTAACGTGACGCGAGTCTTAATTACGAATCGCATAAGTACGAAGGAATTTTACCTTGAAGAATGTAATATGTACCTGATTTTATGCTCCATCACCTTTTCATTATTCGCTTCAAAAATATGTCTTACACCAAAAGAAAAAGTAATATTGTTTTTTTTTTTTATCCATGAGAAACTTCACGCCTCAATTGAACCTTGTATTCCCGATTATCATCGTTATCGTTTCACACCCTCAGTTATTTAGTAGTTGAATTATTTCTTTTTATAATTGACATGATTTTTCAAGCATAGTATTTATATTATATTAAATTAAAAATAAGAATAAAATATAATTTCATGAATGAAAAGTTTTCATAAAATATGTATTATCTCTGGCTAGTTGCCACTAGGAAGCAACCTACGACAATTGAAGCATATAAGAGCACGTTTAACTAGTTTCTTATTATTTATAAGCACAGTATTTAACAAGAAATGTCTATTGGAGTAGGCTTAGGTAGTACAAGAAGGAAATTATTTTTTAATTTCGTGTCTTGTAAAAGCAACGGTGCTCACTTGCCTCTTACTTTTTGTTTTCTTTTTCTTTACTTTCCTTTTCCATCATTAAAACTTCTGTACATAAATTCTTTTTGAACCAGCTACACTTGGGAGTTGGAACTATATGTACATCTAAATTACTATTTGATCACAAATTTCACAATATATATATATATATATATATATATAACATGTGGAAATAGCTGAATATACTTTGGTAAGCTGAATACACTTTTAAAATTTTTATAATTTCATTTATTTTATCATTTAGTTTTTATAATTAAAAATATATAATTTTAATTTATATATATATATATTTTTAATTTTTTTCGTTAATTTTTTATAAATTTATTTCCTTTTATGTTGATATGTAAATTTTTTATTGTAATTTTTGTTTTTATTAGTTATTCATATTTATATATTATTTATAATAATTAATTTTATAAAAATTTATCATAAAATGTAGTGTAAAGTGTAAAAAAATGTAGTATGAATTGTAAAAAAGTTGAGTGCTTATAAGCAATTTTTATTAGAACAAAAATTGTAAAAATATAGTGTGAGTTGCTTATGAGTAACGTGACACAGTAGAACTCATTTAAAGTGATTAAGAGTTGCTTATAAACAACTCCTATTATAGATGCTCTAACCAATCGGATCAGCGATCACGTGTTGCAAAATAAATGTTCATATTCCCCGTAACCAATTGTTTTGGATTTGAGATCCAGTACTTTGGCATTTTTCTCCTCAAACGTGTGGCTCAGGAAACACGAGGCACTTGGTGTCATCTTTTTGCTCGAGTTTGCTTAAAGAACACCACTAAATATGGGTTACGTTATTTTAGCAGAAACAATGAACCACTATGATGTTAAGTGAAAGTCGATGAAAACCACATAAATGACAAGAACAAAACTCAAAAAAGGAAGTGGAACATTGGAAGCAACTTTAATTTGGCGACTGTTAATAGGGCCCTTGAAGTTGGTCATGAAAGATAAGATAATAATTGCATCTAGAATTGGAAATCACAATTTTGATTTTTCTTTAGCTTTTAATTTCCCTGCCCCTGTGAAAGCACTTAGCTGCTGCTGGTATATTTCTGAACTACTTTGTGATATTCAGTGTGGATAATTTAAGAATTTTGTTGTGGACTTGGGAGGCAGGTATATTTTTCATAGACTACAAAGCTTTCAACCACAAAAGGCAAAGATCTAATGTTATAGTTTCCTCTCCTGGTCTATGAAACAAGAAAGAAAAAGTGTAGTATAGGCATAGCTTTATGAGAGTTGTACTAAAAGGATAAATAACAAATAATCATAACCATAGTGATGTTTTAAGAATTATAATCCCTAAAGTTTGGGTTAGAATGAAAAACATTAAGTTTTTTTTTTTAGTTTTAATGCCCAAGTTCCAAAACAAAAACTAACTATGGCCTTACCGTCTTTAAAAGGTAAATTATCAACTTAACTTGATCTTTACATAGACATTTAAATTGAATTGCGTAAAAAAATTTAATATAAAAATTTAAAGAAAACAATAATTTGGATGAAATTAATATATAATAAAAATAGTTGGAGATTGATTCACTAACTTTTTCTATAAAAATTTCTATAAATTTTTCATTCAATTTGTAGTTAAATAGTTAATTCAATAACTCACACATATATTTAAACCCTACTTCTTTAGGTGAAAAATTTTAGGTTGTTTTAAAAAATTTCAATTCTTTAATAATTTTTGTTAAATAATCCTACATTAAGATTAGACTAAAAGTCAACTTATGAGGTTTATACCAATTCTTTGATAAATAAATGTCATTGGTGTTTTTTCCATATCATAGTTACAAAAGAAATCTCAATTAATTCTAATAAATCATGCATTGAGTGATCAAACTAAAACAAACATTAAGAGTAGGAGGAAAATAATTAATTGAATAATACTTTTATTGAATGAAAAATCAAAATAATTTATATAGTTTTAGTAGCTACCTCAATTCCTAATA